CGTATGGACCAGGGGCAGTGCGTATATTGCGGTGACCCGGCCCATATTATTAAATATTGTCCCAAATATAGACAGGCCCAATGGGCTGCCGTGGAGTCAAAAGGCAGCCGCCGGTAGGGGTTGCAACTGGCCCTACTACTAGGCCATGTGGGGAAGCGAGCGCGCTCGTACAGGAAACTCCCACACCACATGAGCCTTCGGCAGAGGTTGCAGGTCGGTGCCTAGCTGGCTGTCCAGAGACTGCTTGTGTTAGCGTCTCTCTAGGCACTTCCCTCACAGGCGTGGCAGAAAAGTTGAAGGAGAGGATGCCTGCCTGGGCCAAAATGAAGAAAGATAGTGAAGGACAACTAGTATTACTTGACGTAGAGGTTTTTAGGAGTAGAGTGGGGGCCCTTATAGATTCAGGGGCCACCCGTAGTTATACTAGCCGTAAAGCGTTGAAGAAGCTAAGGTTAGGGTTAAAAGTCCAGAAGTTGGAAGACCCCATAGTTAGTGTCCTCACAAACAACTGCACTATGCGTGTTGAGGACTACGTAGAGGGAGTCCAAGCGTAATTCCGCCTAGAGAAAGATGGGAAGGTGGAGAAGGTTCTCCATTCCCCGACTCTCCTCGTACCGGATGACCTTCCTTTTGATATAGTCCTAGGTATGGGCTGGGGAGAGGCAGCAGGGGCCACACTTCATCTGAGAGAGCATGAGTGTAGGCGCGCTAGTCCGTCAGGCGAGGTTAAGACTGCCCGCCTGTTTCATGTGTCTGGAGTAGATAACTCCTTAGCACATTGCTGTCTTAGTGCTCCCGTGTTCTCGCGCTTAGTGAAAAAGGAGAAGTTAGAGGATCAGGTCTTCGTAGCATATGTCAGACTTGTTACTGAGCCTAAGGAAGAGGATAGTCCCATGGATCCAGCCATTGCCAGGCTACTGGAAGAGTTTAAAGATTTGACAGAGCCGCCGACATGAGTAGTGCCGTGGCCAATCTAGCATCGTATAGAGATAGAGCCTGGCAGCAGGACTCCTAAGGGAGCAGTCTACAGGATGTCCCCAAGGGAGTTAGAGGAGCCACTGCCCAGGATAGATTCATCTCATTTTGGAGCACCCGTTTTGTTCGTCCCCAAGAAGGAAGGAGAATTGCGTATGTGTATAGACTATAGGGGTCTGAATGCGATCACGGTAAAGAACGTTGAGCCACTGCCCAGGATAGACGATCTCTTAGATCGGGTGCATGGTTGCAGATATTTTTCAAAGATCGATTTGAAGTCCGGATATCATCAGATAGAGGTCCATCCTGATGATCAGTACAAGACTGCGTTCCGGACTAGATATGGGCACTACAAGTTTATAGTGATGCCCTTTGGACTAACCAACGCGCCTGCCACATTCCAGCGCTGTATGAATGATTTGTTTAGGCCTTGGTTAGATACATTCACCGTAGTTTATTTAGACAACATCTTAGTGTTCAGTAGGACCCTCCAAGAGCACTAGGTCATTTGAGGTAGGTCTTGGAGAAGCTGAGAGAGGCTATCTTCAAGATCAAGGCGAAGAAGTGCGAGTGGGCCAAGACACAAGTTTTGTACTTGGGCCACGTTTTAAACGGAGATGGCATTAAGCCTGAGGACAGCAAGATAACGACGATTAGAGATTGGTCGACGCCCCGCACGTTGACTGAGTTGCGGTCATTCCTCAGCTTAGCTAACCACTATAGGAAGTTCGTGAGGAACTTGTTGACTATTGTCGCTCCCCTTCGCAGGTTGCTTAAGAAAGAGGCAATCTGGCAGTGAGATAAAAATTGTACGTCTGAGCTAAAGAAATTAAAGCGCGTGTTGATAGAGTATCCTGTTCTCAAAGAAGCAGATTTGTCTTTGCCATTTGTCGTCACCACGGACGCGAGTCAATATGGGATAGGCGTTGTGTTACAACAGGATGATGACAATGGCTATAGACCCGTAGAGTTCATGTCAGCGAGGATGCCCTCAAAGAAGGTCGCTACCTCGACATATGAGAGAACTCTACGCTCTCAGGCAGGCTTTAGAGCATTGGAAGCATTACGTGCTTGGGAGGCACTTCAAAGTGTATTCAGACCATGAGACACTTAGATGGCTGACGACACAGGCCAAAATGACACCTAAGTTGACTAGGTGGGCCGCTGAGATAGACCAGTACGACTTCGAGCTCAAGCCGGTCAAAGGCAAATACAATGTAGTTGTGGATGCCCTAAGTAGGAGGTCAGTTAACTTTGGAGCTATAGTTCACTATGTGGATTTAGAGAGTGACCTGCAAGAGAAAGTTAGACAGGCGTATATACGCAGGACCCTATTTATAGTGACCTCCTCAAGTTAGTTAAGGAGGCCCCAGAGACTGAACCAGATTACCGCACTACAGAGGGACTGTTGTTTGAGAGGACTAATGTAGTAGACCGCATGTGCATTCCCAACAGTGAGGAGATCTGCTGTCTGATCCTTGGGGAATGCCACGACACAGAGGGACATTTCCGTTGGCAAAAGACTTTAGCCAACCTGATGCATGCGTATACGTGGCCAGGAATGAAGAACGACTGCAAAGAGTATGTCCGCATTTGTAAAGTTTGCCAAAGAAATAAGACCACTACCCGTGCCCCTCTAGGTCTTCTCAGACCTTTGCCTATTCCTGATCAGCCAGGAGATGCAGTGTCCATTGATTTTATGGACGCCGGCATCAAGAGTAGGCACGACAAGAGCCAAGTCATGGTCATAGTTGATAGATTTAGCAAATATGCTGTTTTTGTTCCTTTGCTTGTAGACGCACGCACCGAGCTAGTGATTCAGAATTTTTTTGACTTTTGGGTTAGCATGGCGTCCCGTTGTCTATTGTTAGTGATAGAGGTACCCGCTTCACGAGTCAGAACTGATAAGAACTGATGAGAGTCTATGGGTCAAAGTTGTTAATGTCATCTGGTCGTCACCCAGAGACTAATGGTCAGACTGAGTAGATGAACAAGATCCTGCAGCAAGTTCTGTGTATGTACTTTAGACCAGATCAAGTCAATTGGGACGAGATGTTGCCCAAGGTAGCCAGCGCGTACAATAACAACGTGCACTTGTCCACCTGCCGCACTCCCAATGAGTTGCACAAGTCCTTTAGACCGTGTAGACCATTTGAAGGACTTAACCGGGATCAGATTCACAGGCTATTGCCCATACCAGGGAGTTTGCGATACAACACGAGAAAGAGCTAGTTACTGTTGTTGAGAACCTTAGGAAGGCCGAACACCGGATGATAGAACATGCTAATAAGCATCGCCGCCCGTCACAGTTCCAAGTAGGCGACTTAGTCTGGGTCAAGTCCAAAGAGTTTGCTCCTGAGGAAAACATCTCGCAGAAGTTACTGCCCGCGAATAGAGGACCGTGGCCAGTTCTAGAAGTTAAGGGCGGAGAGGATGGGCCGTCCTACACAGTAGAGATCCCAGCACACCTCCACACCTACCCTGTATTTCATGCATCGAAGTTGTTGCCGTGTGTCACAAGTCAGCAGTTCCCATCTAGAAGGTCCATGATCCCTCCAGACATGGACGGAAGGTACGACATTGACGACATGGTAGGTGAAGATGTGTTTAGAACAGGAGGTAGAGATCGTCCACAAAAAAAATATAAGGTCTGATTCGTTTATCAGGAGCCAGAGGATGACCGCTGGTTTACTAGAACGGAACTTCTAGAAACAGCTCCCGACATAGTTAGAGCCTATGATAGAGATAAGAAAGGTAAAGGTCCTACCTCGGACTGAGTTATTCTCGAAGGACCTCGAATTTAGGCCGGCGGGAGTGAAACGGCTTTCACCTATTAGCGGTGGTGAATGCAGATCCCAAGGCTCGATCCCCAGTCCTCACCTTACCTGTGTACAGTACCTGTGTCGACCCTGAGAGTTGAACCCTTGACCTGGGTGTGTTTGCATAAGTGGTAGTCGGTCGTAGGGTCTATAGGTGTAGGGGTTCGATCTGTAGAACTGTCGAGTATAAGTCTTAGGGAGTTCTAGAAGTCGTAGCTGTAGAACTTCCGAAGGGTCAAGGTCGTAGCTGCTACAGTCCTGAAAGGTCAAGGTCGTAGCTGCTACAGTCTTCGAAAGGCCAGGACCCAGACTTCTGGAAGGTCCTAGTAGTGGCCTTTCGAAGTTGCTCACGTCTAGGCTGAGGCAAGTGGGCAAGTGGTGGTGGTGGAGTCTACCCGTGCTGAGTCAGCAGTCCCAGTCCCAGTCAGTCCTAGTCCAGTCAAGCAAGTACCGCATGGGACTGTGTGCACCAAGAGCATGGGAAAAGGGCAGACCAACGAGATACAGAAATATAAATCAAGAGGCAGCGCCCAACCATTCATTCATTCCTGCGTAAGCCATGCGGAAGCGCTGCCACAACGACTTGTGTGAGGTGGTCTGCAGTGAGCCCGAAGACGAAGTGGGCGAGAAGGAGCTTAACCATAGTGATAGGTTAGCAGCGGCCGTAGCCGCCATAGCTGTAGGTGGAGTGTAGCGTGTGTGTGTGTGTATGTGTGTACAGAGTATCGCGTGTGGGATATCCAGGGTGATCATGTGTGTGCGAACAGAGAGTTGTGTGGGCGCTGTGTTGCCATAGCCATTGAAGTGAACTTGTACCTGAACTACGTTCTTGGCTACCATATCTCTGAGTTTGAGTGAGCGCTTGTCACCAGTTTGCTGCGCACCTGTTTGCATGCATGTGAGGTGTGAAAGATAGCAAGTCTGATTGCATCTCGTATATTTTAATAAATTTCCTTTCGAAATTCTCAAACTTCAGGAATATTTAATTCCTTTTGAAACTTAACGCTTTTCATACCCCAAAATTCATTTCGAATAGATTTAACCAGAATTTATTTATTTGAAATTAATTATTTTTTTTCGATATTTTCAGCATTTATTTCATTCTTGAAAGTTTCGTGTTTCCAACCTTTCTCCCGCGAAATCCTTTGCGAATTTTTGAATTAATCTTGAATGAGTTACTCCAAACCAGAATAATTTATTTTGAATTAATTCCCATATTATTCATTTATTGTTTTGGCAAAAAAAAAACTTATTTATTAATAAATCAATTAATGTTGTAAATACCACCCCCATCCCCACCCCTGCCACACCTACATCTCCACATGCCACCACGCCAAACCAAGACCTCCCAACGCGCAGCCGCCGCTGTCGCCGCCGCTATCGCCGTTGCCGCTGCATCTGCCTCCACCTCATCCGCAGTCGTCGCCTCAGCCACCACATCCACTCCATCTTCCCCCAACATGGCCCAATCCTCCAGCATCCAACCGTGTGACCTCTATTGAGCATCAAACCCCGACAATCACAGTGGTCATGACCACGTCACCCACCTCTACGACCGTGCCCACATCCACCGCCCTCGAGTCCCAAACCACTACCCCCTCCATCCAGGTAGTCACCACCACCCCCACGTCCACAGCTGCCTCCAGCCACACCCCCCCGYCGACCTCCTCCACTCCCACTACCTCTACCACCACATCCACCACCTCTGCCTCCTCCACCCTTCCCCCCCCCTCATCCGGCCCATTCAACACACCGCCTCATTCCTTGCCCATCCATGTCACCCCTCTTTCCACCCCACACTCTCATACCCTTCCCCAACCCATCATGACGACCTCCACCATCCCCACCATCCGTCCCACCTATTCCCAAGTCACCTTCGAGGTTTACCCCGCAATGCCACAACTCCCCCCCAACTACCTCCTTGAGGACAACAACCAACTCGACTACACCTGCTACGACACCACCGCCGATAACCTCAGCTTCAACACCCTTGCCCAGATCGTTTTCCGCGACGGGGAAATCCCCCGTTCCTTCCGATCCGGCGAAATCATGTCCTTCTCCGGCCTCCCCCACAAGAATGTTTTTCTCTTCCTAACCCAGCTCCAAAACTCTTTTCACCTCCACCACATGCCCCTTGCCCACTGGCTCCCCATTGCCACCTCCCGCCTCCTCGGCAATGCCGCAAAATGGTGGATGGCTGAAGTCAGCAACCGCCGAGCCTCTGGAGGACCACGTCACTCCTTCCTCCAATGGGCCAACCTTCTCACTGCCACCTTTCGCCCCCAGAAAACCATCGCCAGATCGGTCCCACGGACCGCTTCGTCCAATATGTCTGCTCCCTCTGCCACCACCTCCCCACCACCGTCATTCCCGACTTTGCATTCATCTCCCGCATCAAACGAGTATGCCACAAAGACCTTGCAACCGCCCTTGTCCACGAACCCTGACATGCCCCTTGCTGACCTCCTCTCTCGCATGCTTCACCACGATCGACTCCTCCACCCCCATCACCAGCCCGCGCCCCCCCCCTCCCGCACCCGCTTTTTCCATCACATCAGCCCTGAAGACAACACCTCCATCCCTTCCTTGGACGAGTTCACCACACCTGACCCCGACGCATCTTCCGATTCACTCGACTCTTCATCCCTCACTCCCGAGGAACTCAATATCCTCCAATTCATGAGAATGGAGCGCAGAGATCGCAGCTCCCGTCCACCCTCATCTACCCCACCCTCCCTCCAGAAACTCACCCCCGAGGAGCGCACCTACCTCCAAGCAAAAGGGGGTTGCTTCCGTTGTCGCCAATTGGGGCACCAACAAACCAACTGCCCCAACACCGCACAATTAACTCGCCAGTCCGCCTCCACTCGATCGGCAACCTCCGCATCACCGCCCTAGGCAAGCGCGGGTCCCTCCTCATCATTAACACAGTTCCCAGAACATTGTCCCGGCATCGATATCGCGTCTGTCGGCCCACCCATCCACGACGTCCTCCGTCCCACCGATGGCTCATCTGGCATCGACAATTCGTCTGCCTCCCCCCTCTCCGGTAACGCCCCCTCCACCGGACGACTCCCAGGCGTCGCAAACGACTCCCACTGCCTCATGCTCCTCTACCCTTCTTCGAAACCCATCCATTGTCACCTTCTCCGATGTTGTTGAGGAAAAAGCTCGACACGATCGGTTTGTCCGCTTAGGCAACGAACAACGCCACCTCAACACCATCATCTCCACCGCCAACTCATCTCGTTTCCACCTCAAATTCATCTCCGCCACCCTTGGTGCGTCTACAACTAAGTTTCGGGCCCTCCTCGACATTGGAGCCACCGGTAACTTCATCACCGACGCATGTGTCCGCAAAGCCGGTCTTACCTCTACCGGYTATGACTCCCCGATCACGATTCGCCTAGGGGACAAAGACACAGTCATCGTAGTAGACCGCACGGTTCCCGAGACCACCATGACCGTCGGAACCCTCCGCAGTCAGGTCTCGTTTGATGTCATGCTCTTGATGTGCGACATCGTCTTAGGAACCCCGTGGCTGGACCACTACATGCCATACACATTCCACCCCAACTTCCTTCGCCTCACCAACCCTCCTGACACAACCATCGACATCCCCTATCTCTCATATCCGACCTTCCAAGGCTCCGTCACCCCGCACCAATTCCTCCTCATGGCTCGCCTAAACCCCGACTCCGCCTACTACTGTCTTGTCCTTGATCGCGAAAGTCCCGAGGACTTACTCCCGACGGATAAACCCAATCAACCCCCCCCCTCCAACCCCGCCATCACGTCAATCCTCGACAAGTTCAAGGACGTCTTTCCTGAGTACTTACCCGCCGGACTACCTCCGGATCGTGGCGTATCGCATACCATCGATTTGGAACCCGGACATTCTCCACCTTGCCGCCCTCCATACCAACTCCCTGTCCCCGAAGCCGAAGAAATGAAACGGCAACTCGGTGAACTCCTTGAAAAAGGGTTCATTAAGCCAAGTTCATCCCCCTTCGGAACCAGCTGCCTTTTCGTCAAGAAAGCTGGAACTTCGGAACTCTGCATGTGCACAGACTACCGCGCCTTGAACCGGATCACGATCAAGAACAAGTACCCCTTACCTCGGATTTTCGAGTTCCTTGATCGTCTAGCTTCCACCAGATCCGTATCCGCGAGGACACCCACAAGACCGCCTTCCGCTCCCGGTTCGGGCACTACGAGTTCCTCGTGATGCCATTCAGACTCACCAATGGCCCCTCTACCTTCCAATCTACCATGAACCACATCTTTCGTAACCTCCTCGAAGTCTGTGCCGTCGTCTACCTTGATGACATCCTTGTCTTCAGCCCCACCTTCGAGTCCCACCTTCAACACCTCCGCCAAGTCCTCTCGATCCTCCAAGAGCAAAAATCTTAGGCCAAGCTCAACAAATGTACGCTTGCCGCTTCGAGCGTCGAATACCTCGGCCACATTGTCTCCGTTGAAGGCATCCATATGGACCCCTCGAAGGTCACAACCCTCGTCGAGTACCCCCCACCTAAGACCCTCCTCCGACTCCGTTCCTTCCTCGGCCTTGCCAACTATTACCGCCCGTTCATTCGCAACTTTTTGCGAGATCTCTTGCCCTCTCCACGAACTCACCCGCAAGGACGAGCCCTTCCATTGGAACGATCGCCGCCAACACGCTTTCGATGTACGCAAGCAAACCAACACCACGGCCCTTGTCCTCCAGATCGCCGACCCCATTCGCCATTTCTATGTCACCACTGACGCCTCCGACTTCGCCATTGGAGCCGTACTGTCCCAACATTTCCCCCGCGACACCGCCGAGACCCCCTCCATCAAGGACTCGCCTACTCACCCCGAGGCTCCACCTGGCGAATACCCCATCACCTTCGCAAGCAAGAAGCTCCTTCCCGTGGAGATGAATCACCCCTCCAACGAGAAGGAACTCCTCGCCGTGATTCACACCCTCACAGTTTGGCGCCCGTACCTCGACGGGCAATACTTCACCATCCTCACTGACAACACCATCGTCTCCTCCATCCTCTCCAAGAAAGATATCACTCCACGCCAAGCCCACTGGCTAGACTTCCTTGCTCACTTCACATTCACCATTTGTCATACCCCCGGCAAAAGCAACCGCATTGCGGATGCCCTCTCTCGACGAACCGACCACAAGCCCCCCGAGAGACTCTACGCCGCCTTGACTCATATCCGACTCCTCCCATCACTCCATCACCAATACACCCAAAGCTACCTCTCTTGCTTAGTCTCTGCCACCATCTACAACAAGCTCCGCGATCTTGACCCAGTCCCCGACTACTCCCTTCACGACAACCTTCTCTACCTCGATACCAAAGGCACTCGTCGACTTTGCATCCCCGACGCACATGGTCTCCGTACTCAAGTCTTGGCCGAGCACCACGACGCCAAGACCACAGGACACCTCGGTTTCGAGAAAACCTTCGACACCATCTCCCACTACTTCTACTGGCCTTTCGTGCTCGCCAACGTCAAAGCATACATTTGCTCATGCCCCACGTGTCAAGCTGTTAACCCCTTGAACCGGGCCAAACCTGGCAAGCTCCAATCATTGCCCATCCCAACTCACCGGTGGCAGTCCATGTCCATGGACTTCGTGTGCAGCCTCCCCAAGACCGACCGCGGGCATGATTGCATCTACGTCATTGTCTGCCGCTTGACCAAACGTGCCCACTTCGTCCCTTGCATGAACTCGCACAGTGCCAAGGACGTCGCCACACTCTTCTTCGACGATGTTGCTTGCCATCACGGCCTCCCCGAGAACATCATCAGTGACCGTGATCCTCGCTTCCTCTCACAATTCTGGAAACCCCGAGAACATCATCAGTGACCGTGATTCTCGCTTCCTC